TGATTGCTTATCACTGACTGATAATTGGCCATATTCAGGACTTGAAGATGACTCGGGTCTAACGCCATCAGCATCGCAACAAGCCGCTTTGGTGGCAGCCTATCGAGTCGAACAACTGGCCGCACTTGAGGCACAACAGAGGCAATTTGAACGAGTTCAAAGGTCATCATGATAACTTTTAAGAACTTGTAATTTGTTGAAAGTAAGAAAGAAAAGTCATGAAATTGCAGTAGTTCCTATTCAAAGAATGCATCTACTTGTTCTATAATAATGAAACTCAGCAAGTATGAAGTTTTGAGTTTGGTGAATAACTGCGAATTCGATTGATCAGTCGAAAATGATTCAGAGATAAAAATTTTCAGAGCGGCTGTCGAGGCAGTGAGTCGTCAGAGTAGCGTAACACACCCATCACTGCAACGTCAAACGTCCATCTCAGGACGCGAATCCACCTCATCAGTCGACTCATCCGACGTTATATGTCCAACCAAAAGATTGAGAACCTCCTCGTTCAGCAGTGGTGTCAATGCTAACACTAATAACCATGCTATCAGCAGCAACACCATGAATAATGCCAATAGTAATCATAACAACACTAATGATGAAACTTCGACTAGTATCAGTTGTAATAATCTCATAAACGATCGTTTATTCGCCAACTTACCGTCTGCACATCTGAAAATCACCAGTCGAGGTTATTTGTCCAGATTATCATTTGTTGTTGCTATCACCTTATCTTTGCTTATTTTTGGCGTGATGTCGTAGTGAATGCAACTGAAATTTTCCCTATCAATGTTATTATTGTACAGATAGTTTCATTTATTCACTTGAGTTCTCTTGAATTTCAAATATTCCATGAAAACTTCAAATTCAGACTTGAATGTAAAGAATTTTACATATCTAGTGATTGATCTAGCTGTATGGGAGTTTGATTGGTTATATCAGATGCACCTTGCTACATGCCAGCTTTGAATATTGAATTATTTTGCATCAGTTTGCTGTGAATTTAATGAATTTAATTTAATGAAATAATTTTCGAATGATTTCCCAAATGAATTTCGTTGAAAAAGTTCAAATTGGAAATAGTAATTTCGTCAGAAAATTCTCAAAATTTCAATAGTTACAGATGGAAGCGGCACAGAGAACTCATTGGTTGTATCGATGGAGATCAATGGTACCATGTATCAGGGAGTGTTGTTTGCGTTGGCTGATAGCTCCACAACGCAGAGTGTCGTGCCCAATGATGTGTCATCCTCCACAATAACACCGCGGAATTTTATGAATTCTTTCAAAATTGGTTTATGAAACCAATTTTGGAATTGCGCTTATTTTTAGAGTACACATCAATTCCAACAATACACGCTCTACCTGATTACTATTAAACTGGCTTTATTGAAAATGGTGATATTGATAGTCTGATGGAAATATTTGGCGATTTGTTAGGAAAATTGTAATTTTGCTGCTGCTTAAATCCAAAAGAAATTTTTAAAGATTTCAGCTCACCGTCATCGATTTGAATGCTTTTATTCACAATTTCAATAACAAGAAAGTTCACTTGTTCATTATTTCTATATGAATTGATTATTGAGATTGACATGTCGGATTACTTTGCATTTGATTGATCGTAACATGAATTCGTTGGAAATGATGTGTATACTCTGAAGACATTGGCTTTAATTAAATGCGCCTTTAAGAAAAGGTTTCTTCTTCTCATGCAATCGCTATTATTCGTGGTGATGTGTACTACTTGTTTTCATTATTATTCTCATTTGTTCTACCCATTGATATTGGCTGATATTCTTTGACTTATTTATGCATCATCAATGAGAACAACACCGATGATCCAGTATTCACTGATATGCAACTGAAAATTGTTTCACTTCTCCAAAGATCTGTTCCATTTCCTCCACATTCTCAGTTTTCTATTGATAGGATTTGACTGTGAAATTTGGATTAAACTGGTTTTATATGGACTGACAGGAAGTATGACATTCAGCTGGAATTTTACAGTGTAGAATTTCGGGGAACTCTGTTTTCTTTAACTTCTTCATTTGCTCAATTGTATTTCGCATAATAGTTGAACGAAATGAGTGGAATCCTGATTGTGGTGTGAGATATTTCGAGGGGTTAGCTTGATGAAAGTCTCGATGTTTCAATGTGTAATTTTTAGATATATTCTTTCAATTTCAAGCGTTTCTTCGTCGTTGTTTGATCGGTGTGATTCACTGTTTATAACCAATCAATCGTCTATTCGCAATTGTAACCAATGATATTGTTCGATTTAATTGCAATGATACCGATATGACACGCATTCTAATCACACTGTGAAATTCATCTTTGAATTCTGCTGCTGCTACTGCAAAAAATCTCATAAATTTTAGTTGTTTTTGTTCCATTTTTGTTTGTCGAAATTTGATATCATGTAAACGGTTATAATTTTCGTTTTTTTCTGTGTAATTATTTTTCAAAATTGATCATTAAAAGTCGTTCGCTCTTTATCAAGAGTTTAGTGGCTCTGAAGTGTGAATGATTAATTTTAGAAGGAGGAGAGTAACTTGGAGCTGAAGCCAGTTCATAATAAACTCTCACACCATATGATTGAATGTTTTTAAATTGAAAGTTTTGATCTGAATTGAATTTCGGAATAGTCTCCGAATGAATAAAGAAGAGCCTGGAAGTTATTCCACATTCGGAAGTTCTGGTTCAAAATGACTGGTTCTGCTTGGGACATATTCAGAGAACAAACGATACGAGTTAACTTTTCGGATGATTTGAAAAAGTTCGTGACAGTTTTCAACAGCTGAATGCTTGACCAGTGCTTTGTTGAATTGGAATCGTTCATGTTAGAAATAACTCGGTCTCAGAAAAGGGATCTTTTTGCATGAAGTTGGGTATTATTATGGATATTATGATTGAGTTTATTTTCACTGTAATTTTTACATTCAATATTATCAGTTTCCATACGGTAGCTTTGTCATTAATAATGATTATTATTATTGATATTTTGAGTTTATGTTCTCATGTCTACGTTCAGTAATGTTAACAATAGTAATAATAATAATAATAGTACTGTAAAATGTTAATTGAAGTTTATTGCAGTCAATATTGAGTTGATAAATGATGTGTAATTAGGATATCAGCATTCGTTGTTATGAAAATTTCGTTTGTTTTTGATGCATTTTGTGAGCTTCCTTCAATTTTGTTCCATTTCAATTGGTGCGTTCATAATTTTGTTTGTTTGTTTCGTTCTTGATGAAATGAATATGCATAAGTCAATTATTTATTTATGTAGTGATTGCTGACTGCTTTCGAGTAGTAACTGTTGTATGCTGAACGTCTGAATATGATTTAAGGTGGGAAAACGAGGAGCGCGAGCAATATTTTGTGGTGTAGGTGAAGTGAGTTCGGGTGGGGAATTTAAATTTATTTTCGTGAGGGCCGAGCTGGAAATTTCAAAACGATTCTGTGATTTTACTCGTCGGTGCTACTTCTTAACTTTGTGCCAGACTCCAATAGCTGACCAGGAGATATCTTTAAGCAAATTTCACATATTGCTAGCTTTATTGCACAAATAGATGAATTCATTTGAAATCGGAAAGAATTTCGGCTCGAAAAAAGAAAAGAATTACCCTAGAATAACACTCGCATTTGATATAAATGTATTAGGATATTCATTGATCATTTTTCAAAAACAATTAACAGCTAATTGTGGCATAATATAAAGTGGTGAAAAGCATGCAGTCAGCAATATCTATGAAATTGTATTGCTTCGTTGATACTGTACGTTTTGAGTACTGTATTTGTTGTAGTTAGCACGTGCACCGTATCGGTTTACTGTCCGCCGTATCGTTACGGTTTGAAAGTAATAATAATAAATTACGATCTGAAAACAATTTTCTTGTTGTTGTCGTTGTTGATTTGATGATGTTTTTCGGTGTGTACAGTTGCTCTTTTCATTGTTACACTAACGTAAGATAAATTGTGTTGGTTTTTGCTTGGAACGTATCGAAATGAAAGGGCTACTCCCAAAGTGTGAATTTCGTTTCGCTTAGGCTCTATTCCAGTCAGTTTCTTCAAGATTTGACAATAGCATCCAGCTCGTATAGGTTGGAGTTTGCCTTCTTGCGATAAGTAGAGTTTTTGATATTACTTAGGCCTAGGTTCAGATTTTTAGCTCATTCAGGCTTCAGATGGGCTTCAGATGTGTTTGTGTTTGTTTGGGAGTGATACTTTCATGACAGAGCAGTTTAGACACATTCTATCGATGTTGTGATTTTTTTTAATCGATTGATTTTTTTCTTCAGTTCGAGAGAACATTCGTACAATATTACTCTTACATACTTTTGTGTGTTCATTGTATTTATTGCGTTGACTGTGTGTGGATGTGCATATTTTCGAGTAGTGTTTTGATATTATCAGTGCTCTGATATTTTCTTTTTGTGCAAATTATTATGTGATGTTAAAATTTTTTTGCTATTTCTTTGGGTGCGTTCATCGTTTGAACTGGTGTTTTGTTGATTAATTTAGTTGTGAGCAATGAATAGTAGGTGATTATTATGAGTGGTGACTGCCCAAGTTCTACAGTTATCAATCAAAATGCTCTTAAGAGATGTTGAAGGTTGTCGTTTAGTAGTCACTGCAGATATTCCAAATGATGTAATGATGCTTGACAGTATGTTAGAAATTTTGCCGAATGCTGTTATTATGATAAGAGCAATAATTTTATTAATAGTATTCGTTCATGGTAGAATAATTCAGTGCACGTATGCATTAACAATGTGTGCCATAGTATAATATTGCTATAGCTAAATTAACGTTGTTTTAGCGTTATGCTTTTAGTAGTTTGTGAAATGATGTGTTAGTTCGTAACGAATCTCGCGATTTGATTACGTATCGTTAAATATGATTTATTGCTAGTGATGAGCTATCTATCGTTAACGCATCTCGCGTTTCATTTCATTTACTTAGCGATTGATTTGCCAAAGTGAATTCCATTGCATCAACTGCATTCACGAACTAACTCATTTCATCTTGTATCACTTTGCTTTTGCTTTGAGCATTGGACAAATATTCTGCGGTTGATTTGAGCGAGGCGATTCAAAAT